ACTTATTTTTTAAATTAGCTCCAATATAAAAATTGTTAAGTAAAACATTTTTCCCTTTTATTGAGCTATCAGCTTTTTCTTTTTGTCTGTTGTCTATGCTATATGTTTTCTTACTGAACTATGTGTGTAAATTTAAATGTTGACTCCAAATTAAGTAGTCCTCACTTCTTTTCCCTCCATTTATTTATTTTTTACTCTTGGCTTAATTACTCATCCTCGAATTGTTTGCAAAGTATGCAAGTTTAGATGATTCTTTTTGTCACCATTATCTTCACCTCACCGTAACACCAAATGTCAGAAAAGAAATTCCAACCCCCAAATACCACCAACACCTGAGACACGTAATGGTACTAAAAGACCATTTACCGAAGAGACTTTGCATCAGTTAATCAGATTGATTCAAGAATCCTGCTCCAGATTTTTCTATTTGATCTCCATTCTTTCCATTTATACCCTGCCTTCCCTTTTTATTTTTTCTAGAGCCATGCCCATTTCTCTATCATCAGCAGTTTTAATGCTGAACTCCAATTTCTATTACATCAGCTTACTACCCTACATCTAAAAGCCAGTCTGTCAGCAAAAACTATTCAATTTGTTTCTCTCAAGAGCCCCAGCATTCCACTACTTCTCACTGTCCCAGTATCAATAACTAGTCCATTTTATTTACACAGCACCATTGTCTCTTCTCCAGACTAATATATGTCTCCTCAGTAGTCTCCCTGCTTCTGCACTTGCCTCTTTACATTCTTTTCCTCAACACATCACCCAGAGACCTACAATGAAAATCTATGTTAGATCATGTCGTGCTTTTTCAACTGCTTCAGTGGCTTCCTGATACACTCAGTGTAAATGCCAAAGCACATGCAATGGTCTACAAGGCCCTAAAAGGTGGTCTTTTCTTTACTTCTCTGACCTCCTCATCTTTTTATCTCCCCTTCCCGCCTCATTACTTGCTGAACTTGATAGGTGTACTCCTACCTCAGGGGACTTTGCACTAGGCTTGCCGTTTGATCCCCCTCAAGTATACCAAGGTTCTTTTCCTCACTTGCTTCAAGTATTAATTCAAGAATAACTTTCTCACTAAGACCGATGAAGGTCTTAACCATCAATTGTTCTCCCTATCCCTACCTCCACTTCGTATCCCTTCTCTACTGTATTTTTTCTTCTCCTCAAGAGCTATACATTAAAATGTTTTTCCTTGCTTATTGTTTTTCTGCTTGACTAAGATTTAAGTTCTATGACAGTGTTTTATATACATTTGGCTCACTCATCTTTTTCCAGTGCCTGGAATAGTGTCTGGCACACAGTAAGTGCTCTATAAATGCAAGTTAAAATGAATGAATACAGAGCACCAGAAAAAACATAACAAGTTAATATGAGACATGTCAGAGAAATATAACAAATATTAAATCAGAAACCACCAAGAAAGTTTCCCGTGCACAATGTACTTTGTAACTTTCACAATAATCATAATGCGCCACAAGAAACAACTCACCAGAATTCCGGTCAAACTGGAGTCATAGGTAGACACGCTTTGCTCCCTCACACAACCAAAGAAGGACAACAACAAATTTAAAAACAAAAAACAACCAGGACTGCCAGAAAATTGAACTGTATGGAAGTTGGACAACTAAGGAGTTAAAGAAGAAACATTCATCCAGATTGGTAGGAGCAGCATAGACTGGCAAGCTGGGGTGGAGATGACATGTGGCAAGGCAGCAGACTGGGTGGGCAAGGCAGCGGCTTGCGGACCAGGCAGTCCCATTCGCATGTGGGCAAGCTGGAAGGAACAACTGGGAAGCAAGACAGACTGCAGCATCACAGGGTTCCAGCGTGGGAAAAGAAACCCTCAAAATCTCTTGCTGTAAAAACCTGCGGGGGTTGCAGCGGTAGAAGAAACTCCCAGCCACACAGGAGAGTTTGTTGGAGAGAACCACAGGGTCCTAGGATGGACACAAACCCACCACCCAGGAATCAGCACCTGAAAAGGCACAATCCACTTGTGGGTAGAGCAGGGAACGTGATTGAAAGCTAGCTGAGAGCTGAACAAGAGGCATTGTTACCTCTCTGACCCCTCCCCCTGATATAGCGTCACAACGCAGCAACGTAGATTGCCCCACCCTAGCAAACACCTAAGGCTCCGCCCCTTACAATGTAACTGGTGTGCAGGACAAAGAATATGGCCCAAATGAAAGAACAGATCAAAATTCCAAAAATAGAGCTAAGCGATGAGGAGATAGCCAACCTATCAGATAAAGAGTTCAAAATACTGATAATCTGGATGCTCACAGAAATGGTTGGGTATGGATGCAAAATAAGAGGAAAAAGTGAAGGCAATGCAAAGTGAAATAAGGGAAAACCTACAGGGAACCAACAGTGAAGGGAAGGAAACTGGAATTCAGATCAATGATTTGGAACAAAACGAAGAGATAAGCATTCAACCAGAACAAAATGAAGAAACAGGAATTCACAAAAAAATGAGGAGAGGATTAGGAACCTCTGGGACAACTTCAAACATTCCAACATCTGAATCATGGGGATGCCAGAAGGAGAAGAGGAAGAGCAAGAAATTGAAAAACTTATTTTAAAAAATAATGAAGGAAAACTTCCCCAATCTGGCAAAGGAAATAGACTTCCAGGAAGTCCAAGAAATTCAGAGAGTCCCGAGGAAGTCGGACCCAAGGAGGACCACACCAAGACACATCATAAATAAATTATCCATGATTAAAGATAATGAGAGAATCTTAAAAGCAGCAAGAGAAAAAGCAGAGAGTTACCTACAAAGGAGTTCCCATAAGAATATCAGCTGATTCCTTAAAAGATACCTTACAGGCAAGAAGAGGCTGGAAAGAAGTATTCAAAGTCATGAAAGGCAATGACCTACATCCAAGATTACTCTATCCAGCAAAGCTATCATTGAGAATGGAAGGGCAGATAAAGCACTTCCCAAATAACGTAAAGTTAAAGGAGTTCATCATCACCAAGTCCTTATTATATAAAATGTTAAAGGGACTTATCGAAGAAAAAGATGAAGAACAAAACTATGAACAGTAAAATGACACAAAACTCACAACTATCAAACTCTGAACCTAAAAAACAAAAAAACAAACTAAGCAAACAGCTAGAACAGGAACAGAATCACAGAAATAGAGATAATATAGAGGGTTATCAGCAGGGAGGGACTGAAGGGAGAATGGGGGAAAAGGTACAGGGAACAAGAAGCATAATTGGTAGGCACAAAATAGACAGGGGGAGGTTAAGAATAGTATAGGAAATGGAGAAGCCAAAGAATTTATATGTACGACCCGTGGACATTAAGTAAGGTGGAAGGGGGGAACTAATAGGAGGGAGACTTCAGGGCAGAGGGGGATAAAGGGGAGGGAAAAATGGGACAAATGTAATAGCATAATCAATAAAATATACTTTGAATTATAGAACATTCTAGTTACAGTCTTATTCTTATATTTAGACACCTTAATACCAATGTAATTTCCAGACATTATTGGTGCATCCCCGGTAGTTTTCATCTCACTTTTTTTTTAAAGCATAGAAAATTCAGAAAAAGTGACATCTACAGACATAAAAATCCAAAATTTTGCATGGATTCTAACATGTTCTGTCTATAATTCCCAATTTTTTAGTATACAGTTAAGTGCAACATAATTATAGAATAAAACACATAATTATCTTTTATAATTATAAACCACAAATATTGACCCTATTTACCACAAAAGATTTATCTCATTCAAGTAAATTTTAATTCAGATCTGAATTAAAAAATTTTTAATTCTCCAACGGTAGCATGCATTTTTCATGTGTTCAAATGTAAAGGTTTACTACTTTAAGTCTTTATATCCTCATATGGAAATCAACTGCAATTTGCAAGTATAAGTCTTAAAACTCACTTTTCACCAAAGGAAGGGGATGCTGAGGGTATTGAGGTCTGGGCTGATTGGGAGGGAAGGAATGGAGCATACAGGACCTCAGAACCCACAATCTCAAGCCAAGATTCTAAAATTAACTTTACCCAGCCCCAGAAAAAAATGTCCTTCAAAATCTTTAGTCATGAAGAATTATGTAGTAATCATTAGTCTGGTAGATTCTGGTAGATCCCTTTATAAAAATTCCACTATCATTCCCATCATATCTTCCTTTTTCTTTGCCAGATGGCCTTTGAGTAAATAAACAAATGCCTAAAATGATCATTTTAAAAGTATTTAAATACTAGTCACAAAATTTAGAGTTTTGAAATACAATCCAGTTAACAAAGCGCTCTACATATTCTTAAAACCATTCCTTACCCAACTGTTACCGTACCAAGTAGCTTTACAACATATTCCATTCCAACTGTGGTCAAAATGACTGAAACAACACTTTTCCATTTAGAGCTGTGTACTTGTGAGTAAAGTAGGTCACATGTGTCCCCTTAAACGTGGTGTTTAACTTTTTCTAACCATATGTATCTTCAAAATTTCTTCCTATCCCTTCTTCTAATCCCAATATTTTATATTTCAAATCCTTTTTGGAACAGATGTTTAAAACATATACATATATACTTTGCTAAATTTATACCACTATTTTCTTTCCATGTAAAGCACACACTCAAATAATACTTTCCATTGTTATAATTTATGTAATAATTTTTTCACTTATTTTACTGCCAGAGTTAATTAAAATATATCTAGGTATTTCTCTGATTTTACATTAAGCAAATCTTAAGTAAACTACATAACAATTGTGACTATGAGAAAATTCTAGATTTTCAAATCGAACAATACAATGACTGTCTTTAAACTTAATTTATCTATCTACCTAACTTCTTTGTCTCCAACCTCTCCCAATGAGTGAGAGTTGAAATTTGTTGGGTTTTTTTTTTTTTGAAGTAAAATTGCTTTCCTAATCTTCAAACACTGACCTCAAAATCAAGCATTAAATAATTGGTATGATACTAAAAATACAATATACTTTTTACATTCTTTTCAGTTATGAAATCACATTACCTGATTAGACTGTGATAATCTTAGGATGGTAGGGAAATCATCTTTAAACTCATCTATAAGGTCCATGATTGTTTTCTGGATCCCCTCGACTAAGACAAAAAGAAGTTAATAGAAAAAAACATTTAAAAACATCCCCTAACTATAATTCAAAAGGACATGGAACTCTGGATCCATTGCCTACGTAACTGGAAAAGCAAGAAAACCCTAGGGGACTTCATTCCCAGCTTCCCACGCCCATATCTCCTTTACAACAAGATTGTATATACTTCTTCCAGAAAAGTTCTTCAACACCTGTCCACATATCCACCCAACAGGTTTGATTGGCATGATGAGTTCTTGCTTGGGCTCCCAGTGCTTGGCTAGCTTGTCCTCTACCATCAGTGAGCAATGAGGGCAGCCTTCCACTCAGGAAAGCAGGGAAGGGCAGAACCTACAGCTCACTGCCGGAATCCTTTGTTACTGCACAATGGGCCTCTGAGAACTTGTTACAGAATCTTTTGAAATTACTCTGGCAATGAGAAGAGACTGTGTTTGGAGGCACAAGGGGAGGAGACAGGGGATTGAAAAATGAGCCACACTAAGGAGTTCTACAATATGAATTAAATTTTGTTCCAATTTCTGCAATGATACCTCAATTAATGGATCATCTGAGAACAAAGCTCCCTCTGAAACGAGTTGGCATATGCTTTAAAAGAAATGCTTCACATACGATGCCAAGTGGAAAAGAAACACCAGCAGGGATTCAGAAAGACTTCTGAACAGATTGTTTTTCCTTACTCAAGTGAGGGTCACTAGGTCCAACCCTGGCAAAATTATGAAGTCTTTGTCTCCTTTAAAATCTCTTCAGCATTTCCCCTCTTAGTACTCTCCCACTTTAGACAGCCATTATTTTCCCCTTATCAAACCTGGGAAGAATTACATATTGATTATAATTTAGTGTGGATGAGTTGAGTTGGTTAACTCAAATCCCATTGCAACTCGAAGCCTTTATGTTGAATTTGTAGTTAGAGGGTTTTCTTCAGCAACCATCAAGTGGCTGCTGGAGGTCTATTGGTGGGAACTGTTTAGAAAAGAGAAATGTTCATCAGAAGACTCCTCTACCATGTGAAGGCTGACAGATTTCCTGCTTTCACATTGTTCTTAGTCTTAAGAAACTCCCCACCATAGCACAACCACCTGTCCTAACGTTAACCTGCCTTCCTCCATCATGACTCTTAACATTTGGAAAGCACGACCATTGCCAGAAAGAAAATCTAATTAAGCAATGGTGAACATACAAACTGGGAGTTTATAAGAAAATGAAACCTGTTAATTGTCTTATCAAGATACTTGGCTAGCAGAGTGTACCTCAGAGGAACACCTGGTAGTAAGTACCTTCTCTTTCTCAGCGTTTTTTGTCTTCTCCACTCCCATCTACCCCCTAATTCTTTTTAGCCTTCTGCTCACCACTTAGTGTCCTAGACCTCAACTGGTTTCACCCAGTTTTCTTTTTATCAGTTCTTACCCTCTTAGGCATCCTATAAAATTAACAAATCTATAAGGAAAACATTTCTCGTCCTCATATTTCTCACCAGTTAAGCATAGCCTGGTTCTGAGGTATGCTAACAAAGTCCTTTTTGTCTTTTCTTTCTTGATGACCCTGATGAAAAAAGACTGGCCATGGTGGTGGTTAAAATTTTAAAAATTCCATCCTGCACTCTGCCACATGTATATTTGTGAACATTTATGATATTTTGGTTTTTATTTAATGACTTATAGTTATACCCTGATGCATCTTAAGTTATTTCACATAATGCTGCATGAAATGCCAATAATTATCTTCTTTAGTTGTTTATTGTTTTTTAAAAATTAAAATAAAGTGCTTCATACTTATAGAATAAATTCTAATAAGAATTTGAAGCAGCTCTATGGAAGTAGGATACTTGTAAATTGAATCGTATGAAATGTAGTAGGGAAACATTCTTTAAAAGCAATCCTAGGTAAAATTCTTCCATAAGGTAAATAATCATCATTTTAAACCAGTAATAAAGACCTCCTACATATCTTGTAAATACAGCTTTTTCAAAGATGTATCAAAAACCGTCATATTTATAACATTTTGTTTCTCCTTAATAATTCTTTAATAACTATGTCCTATAATTTTAGTTGTATACTATTACTATATAGTGGGCCTGGAAATCTTCAATTTACTAGTTATAGTAAAGTGACAGGCTGGACAGGGGACTAGAATTAGCAACATCAGAATTGTTACCCAAGTGTGGGAATTGCCAACATTTGGTTAAATGGTAGGAAGTTAAGATCACACTTGTTTGTTGACTATTTCACCCATCACAATATAAGCTCTGTGAGTTCAGGGACTCTGTTTGGCTCAAGGCTATATTCCCAATACCTACTTAGTACATTTATGTGCTTTTAAAATTTCACAATATTACAGTAAATATTTCCTCAATAAATATAATCAAATTTGTTACTTATGTCTCAGGCAGAATGAAATATTTTATCATTAACAAATTCATCATGGAGTGAATCAACTGATCCACAAATGCAGAACATATAAGACATTATATACATACACATATATGCAGACATAGTCTTTATCTAATATTCGGGGAAGAAAACTTTTTCTCCCCACCTTTTAATCTATTTTACCCATCATAATGAATTCTGGCTCATATGACATGTCCTAATTAACTGAATTAATTAAAACAAGATGAACTCAACAAAAACTAGAAGAGAGACACAACACAAACATTTGTTTTTGATTTCCCCTTCTGCTTTTTTTGGTAAATAATACTGACTATATTAATTATAGACAACCTATTATTCTATATATCTGAGAATAGAAAATAAAAGTGTGGCAGGTTAATGGGTTTAGTACAGATAAATATGTAAGTAAAGTAAATTAAAATATGTAATACAGTAAGTACCAAAAGAATTTACATGTAAAATATTTCAAAATATTTATTTTTAGAATAGGATCCCTAAAGCTGAAAAGAAATTGAAAAAAATAGCGGTATATCAATTGGTTACAAGAACTAAAAATTATTTATTTCAAGTGACTTCAGAACACAGTTCAGAAGATTCCAAAGACAAAAAAAAAAAAAATTAAATAGATATTTTAAATTTCAATCAGTTATTTTCTTGGTAGTATAAACACTGGTTTTATTTGAAATTATTTTCCTCATAGTACAGGATAAACACACTTTTGGATTAACAATGTTAAGAATTAACAATTTCAGTGAAAGATAAAAATAACCCTGCTTATTAAATCAAAGAACAAAGTAAAACATTGTAATGTTAAACAGAATTGAAAATATCATCACAAACAAATGATTTTTAAAAATGCATTTTTTTCCTAGCTGTACAGACTTAAATGGCTACAATCATTGCCAACTCAGTAGAAAAATACACCCCTAGTACCTAGATTCTGGAATTTAATATTATTCCCTTCTACAATGAACCAGGATTCCTTGAAGAAATAGCTTGTATTAGTCAGGCTGAAGTACAGGTGAAGCAGGGAGATCTCAGGCCAAAAAGGAAGAAAGTTTTTTGAAGATTAATGGGGTCCTATTAAAAGGATACAGAAGCCAAATTGAAGGGGCTTCTACTGGCTTCCAATGTGATGATTTGGGCTTTTCAGTGGAAGGATCAGGCCATCATAATGGCAATCCCCCCTGGCGAATACAGCATCACTAATTATGGGATGAACAAACATTATATGTCTCCTAATATAATGCAATATGATGTACATATCACCTATGATATATCCTAGCCAAAAATGTTCCAACTTGATCTAACTTTTAGATTTATCTTTCAGCTTCTCAGAAGTACAGAAGATAAACAACCTAATTCAGGGTTTCTCAAGCTGAAGTACAGAACCAATACTTTTGTAAATTAAAAGTAAATTATCTGAAAAAAATGTATATTAAAAACAAAGGCAATTTTTATTTATTTTAAAATATTTATATAGTCAAATAAAACTATCTTTTCTTTTTAAAGCTTCTGGTTTTCCTGTTAAAAAAGTTTTTCCAGGCCCTAAATTATATATATAGTCTCCTAAATTTTCTTCTGTTTTCTTTTTTTAAAAATTAACTGGCGGGGCGCCGAGTGACCAGCGAGGGTTGGTGAGCGTGTGTGTGACCCCCGCGGGCTGGTGAATGCTTGCACTGGCCGGCAAGGCCTCCCACAGATTGGCACCCATACGGCCTGCGAGGGAGTGCACAGAGCGGCAAGGGCAGGCGTAAATTGACCCGCCAGCCCGTGATTGCGGAGCGGCCCACAAAATTATCAGAGCTGCCCAGAGTCCCTGGAGGAGAGACCAGAGACAGGATTAACCGGAGAGTCCTGGAGCTGACTTCCTCCCATTTCCGTAGTCCCCATTTGGTGAGGGCAAGCAACGCACCCAAAGAGCCAAAAGCGGGGAAAATACACAATAGAAGACCCTAAACTGACCAGTGCCGCGGAGCTCACCGGCCAGGAGGGCCAGATGAGTACGCGAGGTCGCCAATAAGCCCCCTTGTCTGGGGCAAGCACATGCGAGCCCAGGCAGGCGGGGGATCCTGCCGCGCTGGGAGTGCGCTCAAGGAGCCCGGGTGAGAGTGCAGAGAGATCCCAAAAAATAGCCCAGCCCTGACCAAAGGGGTCACAGAGCTGCTCCAAGCAGGAGTCAGACACAGGCATTAGACTCCTGGAAGGCTCAAACAAACAACCCAAGGTCCTACAGGGTCAACAACTGACATCACCAGAGGCAGGCCCAGAAAGAAAAGTAAAGGACAAAAATACTTAACAGACTCTCACAAAAATGGGAAGAAAAAGAAGTTCCCCCCAAATGAGTGGAAAAGGGGACTCCCCACAGAGAGAGCTAAATGAAATAGAGGCAAGGGAACTATCAGATACTGAATTCAAAACAATGGTTCTAAGGAAGCTCAATGAGCTCAGCCAGCTCAAAGATAACTATGAGAAACTGCAGAGAAACTCTCAGGATCTTACAGCAAACTATATCAGCCTGGAAAAGGACATAGAAACTATCAAGAAGACACAAGAGGATATGAAGAATACCATTTCTGAATTGAAGAACACAGTAGAAGGAACCCAAAGCAGGCTGGATGAAGCCGAGGATCGAATCAGTGAGATGGAGGACAAGGTAGAAAGAAGCTCCCAGAAAGAACAAGAAATGGAAAAATGGCTCAAAAAGAATGAAGAATTTCCCTAAATGCCTCTTAGGGAAATGCAGGACAACTTGAAACGCAATAATATCCACATAATAGGGATACCAGAAGGAGAAGAAGAGGAGCAAGGGATAGAGAACCTCCTCAAAAAAGTAATGA